AAAGAGTTGAAAATTCACAAGAATGACTACTGTTCTGTAATAGTCATTGGAACAAACTGAAACATCCCAGCTAATTCAGATGCATACTGGTAATTCTAATGAGACAAAAATGCTTTAGACTAGGCTGACTGTTAAACTAGATGAAAATGTAGCATGATACCAAGCAATTCTTAAAATTCATATGTCATAGAAATCATATATGCTTGTGTGAGATAATGAACATCAGTGGATAATCATAGAGTGCTTTGGGCTTGAAGGGACTTTTAAAGGTCATCTAGGCCAACACCCATACAATGAGCAGGTACTTCTTCAACTAGATCAGGTAGTTCAGAGCCCTGTCCAACCTGACTGTGAACACTTCCAATGATGGGGCATTGACAGCTTCTCTGGGCAACCTGCTCCAGTGTTTCACCACCCTCATTTAAAAAAAATGTTGTCTTTATTATCTAGTCTAAATCTACCCTCTTTCAGTTTAAAACCATTATGCCTTGTCCTGTCAAGGCATGCTGCTTGTTGGCTAGCATCATTAGTATCCATAGTGTTTTATGCTAATATTGTTGGTGAGGATTTCATAGAATCATAGAATGGTTTTGGTTGGAAGGGACCTTAAAGATCATCCAGTCCAACCCCTGCCATGGGCAGGGACCCCTCCAACTAGACCAAGTTTCTCAAAGCCTCATCCAACCTGGCCTTGAACATCTCCAGGGATGGGGCATCCACAGCTTCCCTGGGCAACCTGTGCCAGTGTTTCACCACTCTCACAGTAAAAAAATTATTCCTAATATCTAGTCTAAATCTACCCACTTCCACTTTAAAACCATTCCCCCTCATTCTATTGCTACTTGCTCTTGTAAAAAGTCTCTCCCCAGCTTTCCTGTAGGACCTCTTCAGGAATTGGAAGGCCACAATAAGGTCTTCCCAAAGCCTTATTTTCTCCAGGCTGAACAGCTCCATCTCTCTCAGCCGGTCCTCGTAGGGGAGGTGCTCCAGCCCCTGATCATCTTTGTGGCCCTTCTCTGGACCTGCTGCAGCAGCTCCATGCCCTTCTTATATTGGGGACCCCAGAACTGGGGTCTCACGAGAGCAGAGTAGCAGGGCAGAATCACCTCCCTTGCCCTGCTGGCCACACTTCTTGTGATGCAGCCCAGGATGCGGTTGGCCTTCTGGGCTGCAAGCACACATTGCTGGCCAATGTTGAGTTTTATCCATCAACCAACACCCCCAAGTCCTTGTCCTTGGAACTGTTCTTAAGCCATTCTCCGCCCAGCCTGTATTTGTGCTTGGGATTGCCTCTATCCATGTGTACTACCTTGCACTTGACCTTGTTGAACTTCATGAGGCTGGCATGGGCCCACCTCTCCAGCCTGTCCAGGTCCCTCTGGATGGCTTCCCTTCCTTCCAGCATGACAACTGCACCGCCCAGCTTGGTGTCATCTGCAAACTTGCTGAGCGTGCACTCGATCCCACTGTCCGTGACCCTGACAAAGATGTTAAACAGTACCGGTCCCAGTACTGATCCCTGGGGAATGCCACTCGACACTGATCTCCATTTGGACATTATCAATTTGGATTTAATATACCAGAGATTACTAATAAGTATGAGATCAAATCATCCTTTTGCCTGCCCCTGCATTGAGGCTTTTTTCACAGCAAATGTAGAACATATGTATTAAAACACTAAGAAATAATGTATCTATAGATAATGGAGGTGCCTTGAGGGTATGGTTAAAGATTACTGGATTTGACTGAAGCTAGCTTTTGTTCTTCCTCTAGTTACCTTTGAAATAAATGGTACTAGATCTGATTAATTATCACCTATTTAATCAACATCACAAATTTATTGAAATGGTCAGATTTGTTTTTTTTATGAAAAAAATAAAGTCTACATAATCCTAAAGTCCTATTTTGTTTACATTTATGCTATGTAAAGTTAACACATATACCAAGTTTTGAGTAAGTTTATAATGATAGTATTGAAGAATTTGAAAACAGCATTGGTCCACATCTGTCTGTTGCTTGGTCAAATAAATTATGAGAATAGTTCTATCGATGTAATAATAAGATATCCATAGGAGAAAAAAAAAGGAAAGATGATTTTATTTCACAAGCACTCCTTTTCTAAATTAAAACCTAGGTTACTGTCATGCAACCTTTTCCCCAGGAAGCTTATTGATAACAAATTTTAGCAAGCTAGTACTTCATTGAACAATGAATACTGTGTTGTAATACATTTTAGTTGTTTAAAATAAAATATTCGCTCAAATTAACCTAGTTTTATTGTTAATTTTTGTTGCAAAATTGTTTTTACTGATTACAGCTGAACTATTAGAAATGTTTCCTTCATCCGTTTTCCTATATAAATCCTCTTTGTTAATCCAAGCAAAAATTAAAACCTCTTCCTATTTCCTTGTTCTGTCTTAATTAATCCAGAGAATAAATAGAACTGCTGAACTGCTGCTTCTATACTGTCTTTTGAAAATGTAATATCATGCCTTGTGTAGTTCTTAATGTCAACATCAGTTAGTTTTTTCCTCCTTTATGTTAAATTCCACATGGTCAGTCATTTAAGTTCATTAACTTATTAACTAAAATACAGTTTTGGGCGCATGGTGCTAGTAAATTCTATTTTTAAAGTAATTAATCTAGGAAGTGTGTTACTTTGTTTTCTGATATATGCTGATTACTTGTAAACTGATTTTCCAAGATAAAAATTGACTTAATTTTATAATATATTTTTTTCAGGTCTTTGACTTTGGAGGAACAATAGTTTTTTGCCTACTGGAAGAATGCAGTGAAACTGTCAATCTTTCTAGCTGGAATTATATATTTAATATTCAACTTTAGTGTTACTAATTTCTTACTAAATAGTACCTCAAAGTAGAAGAAAAATGTATGGAAGTGCAAGAACAATCAGCAACTTGGAAGGAAGTCCCTCCAGGTCTCCTCGTTTGCCAAGATCTCCTCGCCTGGGCCATAGGCGAACAAGTAGTGGAGGAGGAGGAGGAACAGGTAAGACATTATCAATGGAGAACATCCAGTCCCTTAACGCAGCCTATGCAACATCTGGACCGATGTATCTGAGTGACCATGAAGGTGTAGCTTCTACTACTTTCCCAAAGGGCACAATGACTCTTGGAAGGGCTACAAATCGAGCTGTGTATGGGGGTAGAGTCACAGCTATGGGAAGCAGTCCAAATATTGCTTCAGCTGGACTTTCACACACAGATGTCCTTTCTTACACTGATCAGCATGGAGGTCTGACCGCATCTTCACACCATCACCACCATCAGGTTCCTTCTATGCTGAGACAAGTTAGAGATAGTACCATGTTAGACCTGCAGGCTCAGCTTAAGGATCTACAGAGGGAGAATGACCTTCTCAGAAAAGAACTAGACATTAAAGACAGCAAGCTGGGGTCCTCCATGAATAGCATCAAAACTTTCTGGAGTCCTGAACTAAAGAAAGAAAGAGTATTGAGGAAAGAAGAAGCAGCCAGAATGTCAGTTCTTAAAGAACAAATGAGAGTTTCCCATGAAGAAAATCAGGTAAGTAATTCTGAAAGTTTCTTTCTGCTGATTTACAGCTAAGTAGTTGATATTTTCCTTATGGTACTGTATCCTATGCTGGAACAAGTTTGACATTTACAGCGAGAATTGCCTATTTTGATCTATCTGCCTCTGGCTGCTAAGCAGTAGGAAAGCACACTGATAAGAACCTGAATGCAGGTTATAATTTCCTTCATGCAGCATTCTTTCACATTATAGCGGAGGAGAATGATTGTCAGTACCTGTTTTGTTATTTTTGAGGCTTTCTCTTGTGGTGTGTTTTGTTTTGTGGGTTTTTTTGTTTGCTTCGTGTTTTTTGTGGGTGGTTTTTTTGTGTGTTTTTCTTTTTTTTTTTTTAAGCAACAGTCTAAATATGCTCAGCAAGAGGTAAATGAGCCACTTCTGGAACAGTGTAAATAAACATCCAGAATAAATGTATAAATAAACATCCAAAACTCATTTTGTATGAGCTGTACAGGGATTTAGCTGCCTAGTTTAAAAAGTTAAAAGAAGATATGATATTAAATCCCCATATGCAACCTTCTGTAATTCTACATTACAGAATGAAGCTGTGTTTCAGCAAGATTTTGGAGACTTGTGTCTTAGAAAAGGATCATCTTGTAAATACGTATTTCAAATACTTCTACTCACAACATAACACATTTTTTTCCAAAGATTATTTTAATCTGGATGAATAAGATATGGTCAAGCTGTGAGATTCTCTGCTATTTCACAAAACTATACAAAACGGTGGCACAGAACAGATCAAAAAATCTAGTATTGCTGTCTCCGCACACATTTTGGCTGCTGGTCTTATTTTAAATCTGCTCCTTTTTAGACCATCTGTTAACTTTCCCCAGACAAAAACACAATCTTGTGTTTCTCTCACTTCCAGACTCCCAATCTAAACTTCTTTACTGGCAGGCAGCAACAACTGAGTTTTTTAATTTACTTCTGATTTTGAGATCATCAGTGCTTCTTACCAAACTTTCCACCTCTTATGCATGTGATGAACCAAAGTATCTGTGGAACTAACCAGCCTGACACAAGTTACTGCCATAGGAAACTGGCTGGGCCTTCATCAGGAATTCAGAACAGTGAATTAATTTATTATTTTCTCGTGTAACTTCTGTAGCCAGACTGGCAGTAATAGTTACTGACTATTCATTTATAGTAGGTGCATTAGGACACTGCTAGAACCCATATTATCAAAAACATGTTTGGTGGACGTTCTGCTATTCAAAAACCTTATTGGTTGCACACTCTAATCTTGATAGTTGGTGTCACCTTAATAGTAGGAGGAATATTCAAATGCTCTTACCGAAATGTCACATTACTATCTTATAATTAGCATTTAGAATCTGAATTTGTTATTTAGAGACTTTGTCGTGTGCCAAAGTGGTTATGCATTTGTTTTTTGCCCTAAAAGCTATTTCCCCATCTTGATGGGAAAGTAAATTAGTAACTCTGTTATAAGTTCTCCTGTTCATTCATTCATTTTGTAGAAGATTATATCTTTTTTATTTTTGACAAGTACTTTCTTGTAAGGGTGAACCTAGCAGAAGACAAAAAAGGTATTTTGCCCTATCTGTATATTTAACATTAATCTTTACTTTATAATAAAACAACATAAATATTGGGTAGCCCAGTATTTCATTGCTAACGATGTCCAAAAGTTCATAGAATAGACCTAGTTTACAGTGATATCTCCACCAAGTACTTTTTATGATCCAGCTGTGGTTTCTGTATGCTTAATATCTCTGAGTGGACTTTTTTTTTTGAAGTAAGCCAGTTGCTTTTGGATCTATGTAGAATCCTAGTGTCCACAACTTCTTATGACAGTGAATCCCACAGCTTAACATGTTGTATGGAGAACCACTCCTTGCTTTTGCACTAGACTTTGGCTGCTTTTGCTAGGATTTCCTGTTCCTTGTACTGGAAGAAACATTAAATGGTTGATGTCTGGTGCCAGTCTCAGTGCCACCTATGATTTTATAGGACACTGTCATCACATGCCTCCCTCAGCTCTTTTCCAGACAGGAGAATCTTAGCATCTGTGGTAGTTCTTTCCATGAAACTCTGACATTTTTTTGATTTTTCTCTGAATCAAAGAGATCTATGACTTTTTTTTTTTTTTGAGATAAGGAGACCAAAACAGATCAAGTTTTTATAATACAGATGTCAAATGGATTATGCATTGATGTTCTAGTGTTTGCCCTTTTATTCTGTACATCTTTCCCAGTACTCCATTTATTCTTTTTAGCTTTGGATGATCATATTTCATTTTTTCCTGCTACTGAGCTAATATTTTAATAGAAATATTTATCATAACTGAAGAATCTCAGCAGACATTATAATCGGTTTACATCTCAGCTTGTTATGCATGAAGGTAGGATTATTTTCAGATGTGTATAACGTTGTATGTGTCTCCCTGGAGTTCACCTGCCAGCCCTTTCCTAGTTGCTTAGTCTTATAAAATCCTTCTTTGCATTTGGTTTTTGTCTTTACTGCCCTGAATAACCTAATAGCATGAGGACAATTACTTATCTCGCTGTTCATCCCTTTCTCTGCGCTGCCTAGGATGTGTCAGACAGTACAAAGCCCAGCCACAGGTTCCAGCAAAACTCCACAGGGGCCTTCTGTTGGGTTTATGACTTGACCGTGTGTTTCTGCTATTTCCTCTCTTGTAATCAAATATATATGTATGAAAGGACCATCCCTCTGGTCCTTTAGTGCTGGAACCATTACTGCTTAGGTTTCTTGTAAGCATTTGGAGAGGAACTTTTCTGAAGAAATGGCTTCCATGCTGGCTGTTTCAGCTAGTTTGCCAGTCTTACTTACCCACATGGTTATTGATTCTTTCGAACAACTAATTTCAATTAAAATTATCAAAAAGCTATAAACGGAAAGACAAAAGAAGTAGTGCCATCTATCACATCTATACTAGAGAGCTGATAGATCTGTCCTTGTGTGTCTGAGGGTTACTTGTTTATAAAACTTCTTTTCTTAAAAAAGTTTTTTACTGAAGCACTAAAAACTGTTTTCAGATTGGCTGGGCATTATGAAATTGGCCTCTGTCTCATAGCCAACTTTGAGATCTCCTAGGAAACTGAAGAAGGACAAATCTACCTGCCTGTCCAAAAAAAGATAGATAAATGAGTGAATTATAAATTTGAGATTTTTATTGTGACTTCTGGAAAACTATTATAAGAGCAATGAAAGAAGAAAAGTTTGTAAACTGTATTGATTATTTGTAATTTTTTTTAAATAGTAGCTATTTCTAGAATATAAGGAGTATGGGAAAAATATAAAAGATGACCAAGACTCAATATGGCAAACAAGTCTGATTTTCTTGGATGACACGACAAGAGGCTTTATGCATAAAGGGGAAAAAAAGTAATGTACTACAGTATGAAAACTTTTTACGTTGCCTCAGAAGATTTTTGTTAGCAAGCTGGTGGGAAACATACGAGATGAAATTGTTCTTATATGGATGACTATCTGATTAAAATACCGTCTAGGTGTAATTTTCAGTGATTCATGGTGAAATTGTAAAGATATATTGTAGGACCTGGTAGGGATCTGTTATATGTTTGAGACTTTCGTCAGTGTTCTGAACAATGAGTATGTATTATGCACCCAGCTAATGTCAGCTGGGAAGTGCTAAAAACACTGGAAAATGGGATTACAAATAAAAATTGACAAATTGAAGAAATAGTCTGAAAAAGTAGGATGTGTATCGATATAAAATTGATTAAAAATGAACCTTTTGGAAGCAGACAGAGACAATGAAGAACTTTACAGACAGTAACTTGGACATTCCTGATAGTTGGTTTTTTTTAAGATTATTTTACTTACAGATATCCCTGCCCATGGCGAGGACTAGAGGATCTTTACAGTCCCTTCCAACCCAAACCATTCTAGGTTCTATGATATAACAGCACTATTAGTGTTACTCTATATATGGATTGATTATGATTCTATGATTCTCTATATATAGAGGCAGGTAGTACTGTACATGTTTGTAACTATTTGAAGTGGTTCTCCATCCTGGAATAATCCGTTTGCAATTTCTTAACCAGAGATGTAGAATTTTTTTTTCCAGGTAGACAGGTCCTCTCTCTAATCTTCCTTGATTACATTGTACAGAAGAGTTAGTGTAGAGGGTTTCAATGGAGCGCAGAAGGCCATGAGGTGGAAAGAACTGGGAGGACATAAGAAATTATTCAGCAGTATTCACTGCAAGGATTGTTGCCTGTCAGTCAAAAAAAGAGTGAGAAGTAGCATATCCATTTGGATTAGCTGGTTTTGAGGTAATGTTTTAATGTTTATTGGTTGACATGTTGCTTTTATGACATTCCAATAACCGAATTAGATTTACTGCGACACTTTAAAAATAAATTGTAAACTCAGTTGCACAAACTAATGCCCGTTTTCCCTACTTATAAATGTCATTATTTAATACTGTGTAGCTAATATGAAATGAACTGCTGCGTGCGATGAACAGTGGCTCTTTCTCATTCATGGTGTGGTTATATGTTGTTTTTGGAAATCAGTGGTGAGTTTGATCTTTTTTTTCCTTACAGAAAAACAGGTAATTTTAATTTGCTTAATGTATTCTTTGAAAATGTTGTAACTTTTGATCTTTTGAAATTTAATGCTTTTCCTCATACTGCAGGAGTTTGGTTTTTATTAATGAGATGAAGAGAGAGAATAAAAAGCATAGTGAACAGTTCCTCTGAGAGGCTTATAGTTTTGAATATAATTTTTTCCCTGATTTTTTATGTCTATAACAATATGAATAACTCATAGATGCTGCAATTAACAGAATAGAGCTGATAAAATAATCAGTAGTTAAGGGTATGTGCACTCATCAAGTCAAAATGGAGTAGCTGCTCGGTGTTATTTCACATATTTTTCGTTTTTACTTTGATTTATGACAAGTAAAAGAGAATACACTAAAAATATTCTGAAATTATATTTCGTGTCTTGATATTAAT